TACCAAACCCAGCCTGCACTTCTGGTAGTTCTCTGTTGACATGTTGCTCCAGTTGTTTTTGGATAATTTTCAGCAGAATCTTGCTTGCATGTGATATTAATGATACTGTTCAATTATTTCTGTACTCTGTCAGTTCACCTTTCTTTGGAATGGGAACAAATATAGATCTCTTCCAGTCAGTTGGCCAGCTGGCTGTCCTCCAGATTTCCTGGCCATTACCAGTAAGAATTTCTTAACCAAAAGATCTTCCTAGGTTGTGTTGGATTTTGAGACTGGGCCTCTTCATCTGCTCATATGAGACTGAAAGGTATCAAGCTCCTACCACATCCTGTACATATGTTAATGTCTTATCATTTAACCACTTGATGAAGTATACATTTTAAGGATGAGTCAACAATGACTTAGATCATTCAATTAACACACTTAAGGTCACAAAGCTAGCCCGTAGTAGCCTCTACGTATAGAGAGGTCTAGTTGATCCCAAAGTCCATGATTTTTGTACAGTAACAAGGACTATAGGCTTCAATATGGATTGAAGCTGAATATTAAGAAAACAAAGAATCTCAACACTAGGCTAACTAGGCAGCATTATGATAGATGGTGAAGAGATTGAGATTGTTAACAGCTTTAGTTTACTTGGCTCCACAATCAACACTCTTGGTACCAGCAGTCAGGAAATCCAAAGACGAATTGCATTTGGAAAGTCTATTGTCAGAGACCTATCCAGAGTACTAAAGAGCAACGACATCAGTCTGGAGACTAAGGTGCACGTGATAAAGGCTATAGTCTTCACAATTGCTTGCTATACATCAAAAAGCTGGACAATAACTAGGAATGGTAGAAAGAGAATTGATGCCTTTTAGCTGTGGTGCTGGAGAAGAGTATTGAACATATTATGGACTTACAGGAGAACAAAGGGATTCATCCTGGAGAGGGTCAAACAAGGTTGTTCCTTGGAGGCAAGGATTTTGAGGCTCCATCTGACATACTTTGGGCATGTTACAAGGAGGGACCAGTCAGTCCTTAGAGAAGGACGTCATGCTTGGAAGGGTGAAGGAACAGAGAAAGAGAGGAAGACCATCGATGAGATGGATTAATTCCATGATTAGGGTAATAGGGATAGACATATTGGAGACAATAAAGGTGGCACAGGATAGGCAGATTTCAGGGCTAGTTTACATAGGTTCACTATGAGTCACAAGCAACTCAATGAATGACACGTAACAACAACAATAATATTTTCACTGATAATAGATTCCAACAAAAGGGAAAGCACCAGGAGTAGAGGAAAGTGCCTAAGCTCTGAGCCAACAGGAATGACCCCAGTGTCCATCCTCTGCCAACAGAGCAAGCACTATGCAGCCAGGAAAGATGATGAGGCCATGGCTCAGAAAGTGATGTGGTGGGGTGGGCAAAAGGCTAGGGCTGCGGTCCTGGTAGGACTTAAAAGAAACAACCTACAGATCCAGGAAATTGGGCTGAACTTTAGGCAGAACTCAATACCTTGGGATTCTCGGAGCCAGGGTCTCAGCTTCTAGCTCTTCAGTAGTTATCCGGGTGGGCCTAAAGGCCTGGCAGACTCTAGATTCCTAAGGGCCTAGCAGAGTCTAAATTTCTTTTTCAGCTATATGTCAGCACTGATATCATCACCGCTGCATCATCTTTGAGCACAAGGACATGTATGTGCTTGTGTTTATGCACATGTGTGTACGTGTTCTGGGGGCAATTGCAATGCGAGGGTAAGGGAGCTCGTAGGGGCTGTGTGTTCCAAAAAGTTGTTGGTATCTGAATTGTCAGCTGGTTAATGGCCCCAGAAAGTGTAGAATTTTTAAAAGAAAAAATTAGAACATCTCTAAAGAACAATTAACACAATGGAATGGATGATATTCTTTTAAAGTTAAATCTCTTGGCTAACATCACGCTGCCATGCAATATTATTGTCTGGGATATTTAACAAGGATCCAATGTAAGCCAAGTGACAGCCTGACTTCAGTTCCCTTGTGGAGGCCTTCTTCTAAGAACATTTGCTCAAGGCCTAAATGGAAAGGAACCATTTTCATATTCCATGCCTGCATCCATGCACCTGGCCTAACCTCTCTCATGCTCTCGCTCCCCATGAGACCTCCACCACTTCACTGTAGGCCCTGCCTGGAGGAGCTTGAGGGTCAGAGTCCCCTTCCCCTACTGGATGCAGCGACACTTACTTGTTGCTCCATCTTCCAGCCCATGTCTCCAACTCTGCTCTCTCCTTTTCCTCTCTATTCCTCTCCCTCTGCATTATAGCTACTCTCCCCTTCCCTTTAGTCAGCAAGCTTCCCTTCTCCTACCATCACCACAAAGGTCAAGTGTGTATGTATATGTATGTTTTTAGGTAGGGAAAGAATCACAGCACTTCACAAACTCACAGCTGTATTCCAAAGTGGTTTTTGTTGTTCTGTTACTGTTATGAGGTGGTATTGACTCATAATTGACCCTCCAGTGGGTTTTCAAAGGCAGCCAAGCACACAGGAGGTGATTGCTCATTTTAGTCCCTCAGAGCACCTAGTGGATTTAAGTTGCTTGCCTTTGGATTGTCAGCTCTACTCCTTACCACAAGGCCACCAGAGCTCGCTGAAATAGACTATTCTGAAATAGAGGAGCTAAAAGCAGATGCCAAAAGACTTCTTCGGGTTATGCTTCTCAAACACGTACGTTCCATACTATACAATAACAAAGCCCCTCCTCTGTGCTCAGCTGCAAAATGAGAGGTTGGAGGTCATGGAGAGGCACTTCAGAAGAAAGATCTGATAATTCTGAAGAATGAGTCACTGGAAACCTGATGTATCTTAGTTCTAATCTGATACAATAAAGTTGTTGTGATTCAGAGTCAACTCAATTCAGAGTCAAGTCAAAGGCAGATGCTTTATTATCTTAGAACTTAACTTTCTCTTTAGAAGAAGATTACATATACACAAGAAATATTTTGGAATAAATATAAAATCTGGGGGAGGGAGGAAAATGTGAAACAATGAATGAATTTAAAAAAAATAAAGTAATATAAAGTATTTCATGAGATCTTAAGTTAAAATTTAAAACCTAAAAAAATATTTTTCCAGGCAGTTGAATACTCAAAGAGATGATCCCAGACACCCTGGATAGAGATATAAGTTCTCTGTTGTTTGGAAGGGAGCTTTTGTGGTTTAGGGCTAGGGAGTTAAACTGACAACCCAAAGGCACCAGCTACTTTGAGGGGGAAAAGATGGACAATCACCTTCCGTGTGATTTACTACCTTGGAAAACCTGATAGAAAGTCAGCTGTGTGTTGGTTCCAACTTGACAGTACCAAAAACAACTGCTATTTGAATACTTAGACAGAGAACTTTGAAAAATACAGGTACATGGTTCATGTTTTCATAATACTAGCATTCCTTAACTTACATGCAAGTTCAAACTGAAGCTAAAGAAAATGAAGTCAAATCCACAAAAACCGAAGATTGACTTTGTGTCTGTTCCACCTGAATTTAAAAACATCTCAGGAAGAACAGGTTTGAAGCTTTAAACACTAATGAGAGAAGATCAGATGAGCTATGGGAGGCCAACTGACTAGAAGAGATTAATATTTATTCCCATTTTTTAAAAAAATGTTAATCCAACTGAGTGTGGAAATCATTGAATAATATCACTAATATCACACACAAGCAAGATCCTACTCAAGAGTATCCAAAAGTGACTGGAACAGTATATGGACAGAGAACTGTCAGAAATACAAGCTGTGTTTAGAGGAGGCTGTGGTACTAGGGATTTTATCGCTAATATTAGATGGATCTTATCTGAATGCAGAAAGTACCTGAAAAATGCCTATCTGTGTTGCATTGACAATGCAAAGGTGTGGGTCACAACAAATTGTGGCTAACCAATGCGAGAAGAATGGGAAACCCAGAGAAAGCACAAACACACTGCATGTTTCATAATCAGGAAAGGAATGTGTCCTGTCTCCATACCTTTTCAATCTATATGCAGAAGAGATCACTCAAGAGGCTGGACTCTATGAGGAGGAATGTGACATTAGGATTGGAGGAAGACTCACCAACAACCTGCCTTATGCAGATGACACAAACTTGTTTGCTGAAACTGAGGAGGCATTTGCTACAGATGGTCAAGGGCTGTAGTCTTCAATCTGGATTGAAGCTCATCATAAAGAAAACAAAGATTCTCAACACTGAGTGAATTGGCAACATCATGCTAGAGAAGAGATTGAGATTGTTAACAATTTCAGCCTACTTGGCTCCACAGTTAACTCTCTTGGCACCAGCAGTTGAGAAATTAAAAGACAAATTACATTAGGAAAATCTGCTGTCAAGGATCTCTGCAGAGTGCTGAAGAGAAATTATGTCAGTCTAGAGAATAAGGGGCACCTGATCCAAGCCATGGTCTTCACAATTACTTGAATCAGACTAAGTTGGACAATGAATAAGAGTGATAGAAGAGGAGATGATGCTTCTGAGTTGTGATGCTGGAGAAGAGTATTGAATATATCATCGACTGCCAAGAGAACTAACATGTCTGTCCAGGAGAGGATAAAAACCAAGCTGATCTTTGGAGGCAAGGATTTTGAAGCTCTGTCTCACATACTTTGGGCATCTTGCCAGGAAGGGCCAGTCCTTGGAGAAGGACATCATACTCGGAAGGATGAAGGGACGGCTCAAGAGAGGAAGACCCCGGACGAAAAGGATTGACACAGTGACTGGGGTAACGAGAGTAGGTGTGTCAGAGACAGTGAAATTGGTTCAGGAGAGGGCAGGCTTCAAAGCTATAGGGTTGCTATGAGTGACAGATGACTCAATGGCACATAACAAGAGAGTCACCTGTTTAACCCTGCAAGTGGTGGTTGAGTTTCTTTCCAGTGTCTGCTGAAGCAATTTTTCACTTTTTTGGCATCCATTTGGGTTTTTTTTAAATTAATTTTAATGAAAGTTTACAGAGACTTAGCGTTTTTTCCATTCATTCATTACTGTACTTTACTCCCTGCCCACCCTCTCCCCCCAATTCACAATTTTTCCTATCTCCTCTGATGAAGTTGCTACTAGGACTTTGAGATCTGAGGGTGAAACAGAGAAAGAGAGTAATGATATCTAGATGAAATTTGCCTTCCCCAGAAAGTGGAGTTAATCAGGGATATAGGACTTGCCTACAGACCCAGAACAAATGACACACACTAACAGGGTAACTGCCATCCAAAGCTTGAAGAGGGGAAGGGAAGACAAAAATTACTTGGACCTATAACTATAGGCAAGGGCCACGTAATGGTAGCTGTGACTTAGAGAGACCACACAGCCCGACCAGATGGTTGTTGTAAGAATAAACATCCTAATCTTTCTCTCCTCTCAACCTCAGGCTTCCTGTCAAATTCTCAAACTCACGTCCGTCAGAACCAATGCATTCCTAACTCTCCATTGGGTTTCTGAGGCTGTTAATTGCACAGATTGTCCACCCATCTTTCTCCTACAGAGCCGCTGGTGGATTTGAACCACCATTTGAGTTAGCAGCACAATCTCCTACAGACTACGCTACCAGAACTCCCTGGGCTTTCTGACTCTACCTCTCATTGGCTGAACTCAATCAAAAGGCAAAGATCAAAGTACTGTTGCAGTATTCTCAAGGCACAGAGTACAGGAGAGAAAGTGAGAGTGGATCTGAAAGAAGTGATTGAATTGAGACTTGAATGCAGGTTGAGGGACTCCATCTGAAACGACCCATTCTTCCCCAAAGCCTGTTACCAATAATGTTCCCTTTCTTCCAGGAGTTAGAAAACCTCGTCAATGAGGCCATTCACATCCAGATCGAATGCCTGAAGGAGCTGTTGCAGTACGAGGTTCAGGTAGCATTTGATATTTTGGATCTAAAACTTCAGAAGAAGATTTTAAATCTCAATCCTCCCAGTCCTTTCCCTCCCTCAGCCACTGGCCAGTCAGGACAGGAGGAACCTCTAAAACCCCAAAAGGAAAGCAAAGGAAAGAGAACAAAAGCAAAGAAATAGAAAGGCCTATTGAGGAAGAGCCATCCAAAGTTGTGACAGTATTATGTGATATTCTTGGCAACCAATAAATTAGAGGTATCTAGACATTAAAGAAGCAGAGAAATATTCAGCATCTTATCTCTGTGTTGAATTAACTTTCTGCCAACCTGAAAGTCCAACCTAAATAAATTTCCCGAGTGATGACGGACTCTGGTCCATCTCTGTCTTTAGTCTTTAATTATTGTCCAGCTCTCTGATGCATAACAAGTAATTGGGAAGACCATGCCTGAATCAGGTGCACCTTGGTCCATAGACTGACATCATTACTCTTTAGCACTCTCAAGTGGTTCCTGAGAGCAAACTTCCCCAGTGCAATTTGTCTTTTGATTTCCTGACCACTGATGCCAAAAATGTTGATTGCACACTGCATTCCTAGAGGTGAGCAGTTCGAATCCACCAGGTGCTCTGCTGGAGAAGGAGGAACAATTTCCTCCTGTACCAGTCAGATCTGATTTGATAGAACACACACACAAAATAATAAAATAAAATAAAATTTTGTAAAAAAAAATCTTGATTGCAGAGCCAAGTAAGCTAAAATTGTAAACAACCTCAATCTCTTCTCCATTTATCATGGTTCTGCCAATTACCCCAGTGGTGAGAATCTGCTTTCTTGATGTTGAGCAATTCAAATAAATTTCTTGATGTTCTTCAATTCCTTTTGAAGACTGCAGTCCTTGATTTTCGACAACAAGCTCTTCAGGTCTTCCTCAGTTTCAACAAGCAAGATTGTGTCATCTGCATGTCACAGGTTGTTAATGAGTCTTCCTCTAATCCTGGTGCCACATTCCTTTTCATAAAGTCCAGACTATTGAATGATATGTTTTGCATATATAATCAAAAGTTAAGGAGACAGGATGCATTCCTGATGGACTTCTTTCCTGATTTTGAACCATGAAATATTTCCTTTCTTCTATTCTGAAGACCACTTCCTGGCCCAAGTACAGGTTTCACATAAGCATCATCAAGTGTTTGGGGATTCCCATTCTTCTTAAGGTTAACCACAGTTTGTTAAGATCCACACAGTCAAATGCCTTTGCATGTCAATGAAACACAAATAGACATACCTCTTATACTTTTTCCTTTCAACCAAGATCCATCTGACATTGGAGATAATGTCTCTAGCACCATGACCTCTTCTAAACCCAGCTTGTATTTCTAGTAGTCCTCTGTCAATGTACTGTTCCAGTCATTTTTGGATAATTTTCATCATGATTTTGCTTGCTTGTGAAATTAGCAATATTGTTTGATAATTTCCACACTCCATCAGATCACCCCCTTTTTTGGAACAGGAATAAAATATGAATCTCTTCTAGTCCATTGATCAGGTAGTTGTCCTCCAGATTTCTTGTCACAAACTATTGAGCTCGTCCAGGACAGCATCTGTTGAAATGTGTAAATTGGTATCTCATCAATTCCTGGGGACATGGTTTTTGTCAATTCTTTCAGAGCAACTTGAATTTCCTCCTTCACCATTACTTCTTGTTTTGTTTTCTTAACATTCTTTTATTTTTTAAATTTTTTTTTACCATTGATTCTTTTTTAAAAAAATATTTTATATTGGTTTTCTTACAAAGTTCTTATACACTGTTTCAAATACTTAGGTAGTTTTTGTTTGGGGGGGGTTATTTTTTATCAGTTTATTTACAAAATTCAAATACAAATTCAACCAAATGCCTTCAATTTCCCTCACCTCCCCCTCCCATCAAATTGTACAACCCAGTGATTAATTCTCCCCTCTCCCTACACATCCTCATCCCTCTGCTTCCAGCCTCCCACTCCCTTTATGGATCATTTTACTCACTGATTCTTGATCATATGTTGTTTCTTCACATTGTTCTGTGTCAGCCAATTCCTTTTGGTGTAGTGACTCTATATAACTCCTTCCATCTTCTTTTAATGTTTCCTGGATCATTCAATATTCTGCCCATAGCAGTCTTACATATTACAACTTAAGGCTTCAATTTGTTCTTTAGCTTCTTCAGCTTAAGAAATACCAACAGAGTTCCGCCCTTTTTATTTTTCTATCCAGCTCTTTGCACATTTCATTGTAATACTTGGCTTTTTCTTCTCAACCCGCCATTTGAAATCATCTGTTCTGCTCCTTAACTTCTTACTTTCTTCCCTTTGCCTTGGCTTCTTGGCACTCTAGTGCAATATTCAAGTCTCTGTTGACATCTCACTGTTTTCTTCCTCCTCTGTCTTTGTAATGACCTTTTGCATTCTTCATGATGATATTCTTGATATTCTCTCACAGCTCTTCGGGTTTTCATTCATTCATGTCCAAGACCTCAAACCTGTTCCTGAGATGGCTTTTAAATTCAGATGGGATAAAGTTAAATTTTGGTTCTTGTGGATTTTATGTAACCTTCTTCATCTTTAGTTTGAACTTACATATGACTAATTGATGGTCTGTTCCACAATCTGCACCTGGCCTAGTTTTAACAGCTGATATTGAGCTTCTCCAACAATCCACAAATGTACACAATCTGATTCCTGTGCATACCATCAGGTGAAATCTGTGTGTATAGTCTGTATTTATGGTTTTTAGGTATTTTCAATGAATAAGTCATTAATTTTACAGAATTCTACCATTCTTTCTCCAGTCTCATTTTTTTTTCACAGACTATATTTTCAACTACTGATCCTTCTGCCCTGTTCTCAACTTTTGCATTCCAGCCACTCATTTTTATTAATACACTTGACTGCATGTTCACTTGATCTCTGACTGCAACAGTTGGTAGAAATCATCTATCTCCTTCTCTTTGACTCTAGTTGTTGGTGTGTATACTTGAATAACAGTGCCATTCAGTGAGCTTCCTTGAATGTGTTTGGATATTATCCTGTCACTCCAACATTGTACATCAAGATAGAGCTAGAAATGACCTTTTTAACTATGAAAGCAACCTCATTTTTTTCCTCACCTTTTCATCTCAGGAGCAGTAGATCATATTATTGTCTGATTGAAAATGTCCCATGATAAACCTCCTCATTCTCCAATACCCACTGTGAGCATTTATTTATGCTCTATTTCTCTCTTAACAATGTCCAGTTTTCATACATTCATGCTTCTCACATTCCATGTTCCAATCATTAGTGTCTACTTACACCTATTCCTCCACATTTCTGTTTCCAGATTTGAGGGCTCAGTTCAGATTCTACTTCTCCTATTCTACTCTAAGTGTGTTCTATTGCACATAGGGTTTCTGAAGGGTTATTATTTCAGAAGTGGATGGCCAATCCTTTTTCCTAGTCTCTCTTAATTTGGATGCTTAGCTTTAGAACATCCCTTTCCCTGCTCCACTAGCATCCCCCTCCACTCCCGCCTACCCTGTGCAGTACCTCCCCCCACCCAAAACCACCCTTGATATGATGACTTAGGCCTCAGGTCACTTCTGTGATGCCTCATGCCCCGTTCTCCTGCTGGTCTATCACATTGCTGCCAGTCTTTCTTTAGTTTAGGAAGTTCTAAGTCCAAATCCTGTGCCAGCTGATTTGAGCAAAGCCCTGGAGCTCCCAACACTAGTTTGGATATTTTGTCTTGCTTTGAGTCCCTTACTGTCAACAAAGCCCAGTGGAATTCTGGGAGGACGGACATAACCTGATGGATATTACCACACATTGTATCTTCTTCTTAGTAAAGCTTCCTGCTTTGCTGTTTCTCCAACTGTCCACGTTCCTTGTTCACAATGAAGTAGGACACACACTCTGTCATCCTCTCATCACACTAGTCTTTTCTTTGACTCAACTGTTTGTGTTTCTAGACAAACTCATCCACATTTGGATTCAAGGCTGGATTTAGGTAGGTAGGTAGCCTTAAAGAGTCAACCACCAACTCTCTGGAGCCCTCATAGAGAAGTCTCAAAATAAGTTCCCTACTGAGTAGGGAAAGCCTCACCAGGAACCATACTCCACACTCTTTCTTCCATTCTAGTTCCCAAGGCTACATGTGAGGGCTACCAACCTATCCTGTCAATGTCTGACCAGGATCCTATTCCCCGTGAAACACCCTTGCAGCCTTTGTAGAAGGCAGTGGTGGTAAAATGTACGTTGAGGGGGGGTGGAGAAAGCAATCGGATTTCTCTGGTCCAGGACATATGCTAGAACTGTATTTTCTAGAGCAAGAAGAAAGAATCAAAGAGACCCAAGTGGCCTGGGAATAATCTGATCCAGGAGTAATACTTTGTGTTTCACAGATCATTGGATATTGTTGAATACTGGGCTGGGTCAGTGAAGTCAAGAAGTATTATTGGATTTCTCTTTCCTTTCTTCCATATCATGCACACCCCATCCAATATCCCAGCTTTACCTTCCAGTGCCCGGAGAAACCTGCAGTCCTGTAGATTTTGAACCCTTTCAAAATCAGGACATTCAGATCCTGGTTGGTGAGCTATGACACTGGGCGTGGGATTTCCAAGGAGGACTCCTTTCCTGGGAGCCCCAGATGCCCACCTGCTAGAGTGCATCTCGAGCCTGGCCAGGTTCATTTATTAGTGCAATTGAAGTGCCACAAAGAGGTGAGTGCTGCAAGAACTATGGATGGGGTATAGGGACAGTGGAGAAGGTGGCTCCTACAGCCTTGTGTGCACAGAGCCATTCCTCAGGGACCTCACCTTCATTATCAGGGCCCCTCGGCCTGGCCAAGAGTTTCTGCTGCACAGTAAATACGGATGCTAAAAAATATTTGTGGGGAAAAGAACAATGAAGAAAGGAATGAAGAATTTAAGAAATGGTTGGAAACTCCCTCTTATATCCAGAAGTGTTGTGAAAGTTACAAAACTTCTCAGGTCCAAAACACCCTGCTGCCACATTTAAAGGGAGTTCTGATGTCATGGTCCATAAATGGTTGCACAACTAACCCAAAGGCCACAGCTTTTTGGTTGTTCAAATCCACCCGTGGCTCCATGGGGAAAAAAAGATGTGCAGTGTCTTTCCATTTGATTTGCAGCCTTGGAAACCAGTTA